CGTACATTAAACGTTGTACTATTTACTGTATAAACTGCTGACAATTTCGTCGTCGATACGGCTTCCACTATTGGCACACTCGTGATTTCGAAGAAATTAATAAATACATGCTCATTTATCATTTATTTAGACCACAGCTAGTAAAATTTTAGACGTATTCGGTATTCCAAATCCCAATCTATCTGACCGTATTTTAGTAATAGCTTCAAATATTCTGAGGATTGTGCAGACATTGTGCAACAAAAGGTTTTCACGTTCGAGCTACTTAACGGTTCATAAAAGAACACACACAGGAGACAAATCTTATGAATGTGATGTTTGCAACAAAAGATTTTCATTGTCTAGCAACTTGGTGGTTCATAAAAGAACACACACTGGAGACAAACCTTATGAATGTGATGTTTGCAACAAAAGATTTTCATTGTCTAGCAACTTGGTGGTTCATAAAAGAACACACACTGGAGACAAACCTTATGAATGTGATGTTTGCAACAAAAGATTTTCAGATCTGAGTACTTTAACTCAACATAAAAGAACACACACAGGAGACAAACCTTATGAATGTGATGTTTGCAACAAAAGATATTCACGGTCTAGCAACTTGGTGGTTCATAAAAGAACACACACTGGAGACAAACCTTATGAATGTGATGTTTGCAACAAAAGGTTTTCACGTTCGAGCTACTTAACGGTTCATTTGATCTTGCATGTTTGCACGCATCTTTTATTCATAGATTGCTTTTATTCGCCCAAGGCTTCATATACATGAGCTGTTTTTGGAATTTGTTTCTATTCACTGCGCTTCATAACTTCTTGAAAATCTTCTGCAGAGTGAGTAGAGGCAGTAAGGCAGGCTAGGCAGCTAAGTTTTCGTAGAGGGATTTATATACTTGAATAATAAGTACTGAGGGCCCTATGATGGAAAATGCCCCCAACTTTTCAAAATCGAAAAGCAATGCCAGCATTTTCTGAGGATTGTGCAGCGATCACACACTCCCCTTCTTCCTTTTTTGCCAGACGAAAATACAGTCCACATTTAATTCAGCAATGTTCTTTTCTATTGTTGGTTGTCTTCTGTTGTGCGTTCCAACTTTGTCTATCTTTCTCTATATTTTTCTCCGCTCTCCATGTTGTATGAGGTCTAAGATCATTACACGCCATAACATTTACATAGCCAAGAAAGATGGAACTTCGATAACTATCAACAGTTCCCATGCAGGTATATTTGTTGTAATTATAATTAGTATTTATTTGTTTGTTTAAGTAGCTTTGCCAACTAGGACAGGGTCAACGCAACAGCATATGCCAATTACTGTGCGCCCTTTTGCCTAACCCACTCTGTCAACTTCCTCTGTGGGAGAAAACCGGGGTAATCGAAGGAAACCCACGGCTTTTGGCAGAGCTTTGGCATTTACTCTTTCATTTTGGGACTGATTTCGGGCCACATTGGGAGGGTTCTCACTGAGGTTTGAGCCTGCGAGCTTAGGGGTGGGAGGCATGTGCTCTAGCCGCTTTGCCACCAAAGCCCCATATATGATATACCACAAAAGTTATGATGCACTTACAAACTTTTATATTCATACATTTAGAAAATGAAATAGATATGCTAGTTTTTCAAACACTATCAGAGGATGATCTGAGAACGATTGGAATTGAGTCGTTTGGTGTCAGACGGACGTTGAGTTTGTTGGTCCAAAGAATGAAGTCACCACCAATTGAGACACTCACACCATGTGACATTACAATGCCAGAGATAACTCAGAATTCGGTATGCCATTTGTATTCCGAGTACAATGAAAATCCGCCCTGTATATTCTCAGCAGAATTATTAAATGTTAAATCATCTGCTATATTATTTTTTAAACTTGCAGATTAGCCCAAATATAGAGCCCACGAAAATGTTGCTGTTACTGTTAGCTATATATCGCGCACCTGACCCTTGCACGGGTCAGGACAACAAATAAGCCATCTTGAATATCAGTTCTACCACTATAACCACAATGCAAAGCGCTACGAAAACGTAATAAACGGCATCATCAATTGGAAACGATAAAAAAAAACCAAGTACACTGTTGGATAGTAATATACAATCTAAATAATGTATCATTAAATTAATTTGAGAAAAAGCTTCGAAATTACACCCCATGGTCTGTAGTTAATCGCGCATATATCTCTCTATATATAGATCAATTTGAACATCAAAGAAGCGATGGAGAACACCCAGAAGGCCGAGAATTAGACACCTGCTTAGACAATGGTGGCATTCTATCCAGCAAGCAACGGCGATTGTTGATTACAATATGTGTGTCAGCTTTGGTGGAAAAATGTTGCCTGTAAGTATACTGGTTTTAGAGTAGTCTTATAATACACAACTGTTACTAAATCTTACTGTAATGTGCCATCTTTTCTCTGTTAAAACAAGGTTTGTTTCACCACAATTCCTGTATTCAAAATCAAATCCTTCATTAAGTCTTTCCTTTACAGGTATCCTACTTCAGAGCAGAAAACTATGCTTGCAGTGGAAATTATTAGAATTTACCCAGCAGTTATAGACAGTACTCCTGGAATGAAAGGATATGTATGTTGAGTCAAAAAATAATAAAAGTTGATGTTAAACGTGGTGCTATATAACAGTTCAATTGTATTAACTTTTGACATTTGACATTAATTGTAGGAACATCTTTATGACAATGGACATGGATTCATTGAGTATCGCTTGAAAAATATGAGGACAGCCAGACCAGACGAGAGACGTGGACAAAAAAGGAAGATGGGAGTAAAGACCAGTGCGGCAAGACCCATTGAAAAAGGAATTGAAGATGAACAATTAGAGAATGTCGAATTAACTCAAGACATAAACGAAAAGGTAAGAAATACTGTGTCACATGCACAGGGATGAGTAGCAGAGTCAGCAGCGAACGCTATATACGATCCTGATAGAACGCTGACCCATAGATATGCAATCCTAAAAATATGGAAACGTTGTACGATAAATGACATGTACATGAGAAGGTTGGTCTTGTGCCAGTTTAACCTGATCTTTAATAAACGTCTATATATCGACTCTAGATTTCGACTCTAGATTTCATGGATGAAGACAATGCACCTAGCCATGAAAAAATGGGCAAACGCCTTGACTACTTTAAAGAAACCTTTAACTTGTTAAGCGGCAATGCGCCCTGAGATTGGCAAGGGGGTAAGCAGCAATGTGCCCTAACATGACTCCTTAACTTGCGGGCATGATATTTGAGCACGTGTTTATCAGGTTCCCTAGCAACGGATACGAAAATAGAACGTGAAATTCGAGCTTTTCAACAGTGTATCATGCAAGAAAATCGGCCAAAAACTCGCAAAGTTTTTCAAGTTTAAAACCTTAGTTTTCAAAAATAATGAACAATGGCGATACTGTTGCAAAGAATGGTTTTACAGCAGGTTTTAAAAGTGAAGAAAGAAGAGGTTTTTGAATCATCTACAACGAAAATTTGGCATGAAAGGAAAGCGAATGTATTGACGTTTTGGGGCCAAGTTCTTCTGTGAACCATCCGTGAGATTTTCAGCCAAAAAGATAAGGATTTCTCCAAACTTTATTAAAAATAGAAGTCAGAAATCACAAGAAAGGTGAACACGGAACTCAAGTTACGATATATACGATATTTTTACGTCATACGATATTTTTTAAGGGTATTTTTGAGTAGAAATATGCAATCAAACACTCACAAAATTCGACCACATTAAAGTGGGTTGAATCTAGTTTAAAGTTATCTTTTTAGACGAACTGTTTATGCAAATTTGGGCGCAATTTCGACTGTTTTCGTAACCCCATTGTTGGTCTTCTTGTTCAAGTTATTTTAGCTAAAGTATGTTTCAAACGACACCAGATTAAATTACTGTGTGTACGTACATGCCCTTTTTGGCAAGAATACTTTGAGTATTAAATTACACTAAGTAAGTAGGATACTCCAAAATCACTGTTATATCTATTTTCATCAATTTAGTCTTAAAACGACAACTCGTTTCAGACATATTGT